TACTTGCGTGCGCGAGACGCGGCGGTGGATCCGGGATGACTGCTGCCCGATTTTGCGAAGCAGGACGGGGTGGAGGGGTAGGGAGGGATTTTTTGTGTTTCTTCTTCTTCTTCTTTTTTTTCTTCTTTGTTTTTCTCCTTCCGCCACGGCAACTGCCCATCACCTATGGACATTGGCGTCGAAGGTCCGACGGGTGGAAGGATGAACCTACACCGAGTAGCGACGGACATTGTTACAACGGGCTTTGCGACAGATGCAAATTACAGCAGGCGTGCAATTCAGGATGGCAGAATGCAACGACTGTTCCACTTATGGGAGTTAGAACCCTAAATGCAAAACAGAGTATGTAAATCCAGCGTGATACGTCTAAGCGTGTCATCTTGGGGCTGGGGGCGATTCTTGCTGTGGATTGCATGACTGCGATGCGCTCCAGCTCCAAGCGAGCTCCACGCACACGCAACGTAGTGCTTCGCAGCTGCCGAACTGCATATTGTACAGAACGGCGGTAGGCTCCACAGGATTTCCACAGCACACACAAAAACAAGCATCGTAAAAGAATCGCTGCGCGCGCAAAACAAAGGCCAGGTTTGGTGGCCATCCATGGGCAGGGCGGATTGCTGCTCTTGACCGTTGTGCCCGCGACTTCCATATCGGTATGCAACGACTAGCATTCACGCCACGCTAGACTCTTCGCTGCCGCAAACCTGCCCTCAACGCTTCCCTGTGTGGAAGACTTTCAGGACTATGAAGTAAGCCGCCTGGAAGACGGCCGCGTACGCCGACAGGATGAGAGCGTTCCGGAGCGGGTCCACATCCTCCATTTCGAAGCTCTTCAAGACGGCCTCGCCGACGAGCGTCCCATCGTCGAATTGGTTGTGCACAAACCACTCGAAAGAGTAAGTGTGGAAGGCGAGGTAATAACCCCAGACCCAGCCGTCCGGGATGTCCTGGGGCTTGACCATGAATCCCTCGCAGAGCATGAACATGCCGAAGAGGCCCGCCCCGAATGCCATGCCGATGATGTAGTGTGGCTGGGCGGCGCCGATCACGTGCATGAGGGACTCGGCAACGATCAGAGACAGCAGCAGGTTCGCGAAGAACTGGGCGAAGCCATTGAGATTCGCCAGCCACACAACGAGCATCGTGGAGATCAGAGCAATGAGCGTACGCCGGGGAGTCCGGCGAGGAAGTCGGCGAGCACGTACGGCAGACAAGTGATCTGTCCGTTGGCTCGCTCCCGCCGGAAGACGTCCCTAATCTCGAGGAAGAACGGGAGGATCGCGACGGACATGAAGACGAGAAATGCCTGCACGTAGAACAGCAGAGCCAGGAGCGAGGTGGCCGCGGCTGCAGCGGCAACAGGCTCACCTCCACGGGCCACCTCACCCACGTCGTAGTACATGGTTCCGACCATGAACGCAAGCGCGATGTACATGGCCAGGCGCACACCGAATATGTACGGATTCTTCCAGTTCATGTGCAGCATCCGCAGCAACAGGACGGCAAACTGGCGGCACGGGCCTGCGCTCTCCCTGGAGACCCCGCCATCCTGCGGGATCTCTGGCTGTCTCAGGGCCTCCCGCATGGAGCTCGCCAGCTCGGACTTTTCGAAGGCCCTGACAAGGCCCTCCAGCCTCGCCCCGCCGTTCTCTGCCCCGAAGTCGGTGTTGATGACGTCGAGGAAGAACTCCGCAGGGTTGGAATACCGCGGGCACTCGTGGCCCTGCGCGGCAAAGTGCTCGATGGCGACGTCGGTCGTGGGGCCGAAGTAGACCTGTTGGCCCTTCGACAGCAGGCACAGCGAGTCGAAGAGACCGTATGCCCTGGAGCTCGCCTGGTGAATGCTCATGACAACGGTGTGGCCCTTCTGCGCGACATCGCGCAAATGCTCGATCACCTGCATGGCGGCCGTGGAGTCCAGGCCCGACGTCGGCTCGTCCAGCAAGAGGATGGGGGACCGATGCAACAGTTCGATGGCGATGCTCAGACGGCGCTTCTGGCCACCCGAGATGCCTTTGATCAGCGGGTCTCCGACGCGGGTGTCGGCGCAAACCAGCAGTCCCATCTGCACGATGACCTGCTGGATTGCCTCCTCTCTGGCCTTCGAGGGGATCGCAGCGAGCCGCGAGGCGTATCGCAGCGTCTCGCGCACGGTGAAGCAAGTCAGGAGCGAATCCTCCTGCGTAACGTAACTGACGACCTTGCGGATGTTAGCGGGGTGCTGCTTGCAGCCGATCAGAATCTCGCCCGAGGTGGTGCCGCTGCCCACACGACCGCCCAAGAGGTCAAGCAACGATGTCTTGCCGCATCCCGAGGGTCCCATGATGGCCATCATTTGTCCTGGGTCGCAATGACCAGACACATTGCTTACAATTGTCTTACTCCTACCACCCCGCAACGAGACTGTATGACTAAGCCCAGACCACGAGATCGGGTATCGTCGCTCCGCATCCTTGATGCCAGTGGCGGAACCTTTGCGATCCGGCATTGCTTCCGCCATTACTGACTGCCGTTACGATTGGGCCTATGGCACCAGCCACACTCGAGATAATCGAGTCGGGTATTTGCGCCAAAACTTGTTCTCAGAAGGAGGAAGGAATCGGCGGCGCGTGCGGGGAAGGGGGAGGGGGCGGGCCTTCACAGAAGTCTCAGGAACCGCTGGCCTTTTAAATGCTTTCCAAGCCTTTTCAGAAGCCGCAAGGTGACAGAGGGCTCCTTGGAAGGCCGAGGACTCCGATGGATTCCTATGGTTTCCTTTTCGGGGATTCTCAAGGATTCCTAAGGATCCCTAGGGATTCCTTGGGATTTTCAGGATGCCCTTCCCCCAGGGGGAGGGTGGCGGGAGCGGAGGTAAATTAGAAGGGGGGCGGTCTGGGGGCCGCGGGAAGAACGCAAACGCGCGGTGGGCGCCGGCACGCCGCAGAAGGCCCATGGGGGAAGGGAGGGTGGGAGATGAAGAGGAGGTCATTGTTGGCGATGGCCATACATAAGCGTCGAGGCTGTTGTGCTCTTCCAGTGACAAGCAATAAGGATTCCGACTTAGCGTAGCGCGAACACGCATTCAGAGGAGGTCCTCCTCCTCCTCCTCCTTCTCCTGGCGCTGCTCAGCCTTGCCTGCAGGGGGAAGCGGAGGCTGGCCCCAGCGTTCGGAATATGGAGGAGTCCGCGTACCCTGGGTGGGCGAGTCGCGCAGCAGCTCACGCGCCGCTGCGCTGATCTGGCAGGCAGGGAGGGCAGACTGCCTCGCCTGGATGGTGATACAGTATACAGTGGTACTGTAAGTGCTAACAAACGAGACTCATCCAAAAGCTCAGCGCGTAAACCATGGAACATGTGAGAAGTTAGCGAGGTTAACGCATGGGCTCTCCCCGCAGAATGTTCATCAGCATGGTAGTCGGACGCTGAACCCATCCCCCAAATTAGCACAAGGGGCAGGTAGGCAGACAAAAACGGTCAGGGAGAGCAAGCAAATAGAAGAGACGAGGACAATGTGACGGGAAATGGAGCCTGCGCAGCATTCACAGCCAACGCGACAGGTCTTGTAAATCAGCATGCGGGCACGATGGGAGTTGATCCATTCCCCCACCATCGAGCTTTCGAGTGCTGCCAGCGTGTCCTTATATCGCCCTCGGTGGGGAGGACGAGACCGGGCAATCACTCGCTGAATCGATCGATGACGAGGGGGCGGAGCGCGATGCATACGCGCGAGAGCAGAGGAGCAGAGGAGGGACCACAGGGCCGCGGCTGCATCAACGCCCTGTGCCAAAACGTCTCCACTGACGTCTGTGATAAAAGAAGAAACACAACTGAATAAACATAGGCTTTTGGCATTCCGCGCTGATTTCTTGTATCTGCGCTGGACCCCCCTCCCTGGCGCGCGGAGCGCGCCAGGGGCGGCGTCGGAGGCGCCGCCGGTGGGGCCCAACGCGGATCCCAAGAACCCGTGCGGAGAGCCAAAAGTTTATGTTTATGGCGTTGTTTCGTCTTCAATGCGAAACGTGCTGTGCCCCCACTGCTGCACTTCGACTGCCTCCGGGAACTCGATGGGCACGACCTTGAACAGGGACCGACCGTCCGGCATTCGTGTAGGCCCACCACATGTTCATAGAACGGAATCACTGTTCTTCGAACATATCCCGATGTACTAAACCAAGGCAGTCCCAGCCAGAAATGTTCTAAGAGCATTCAGTAGAAACCACAAACAATGTTTAGAACATTGTTTGGTGGGCCTATAGGCACGCCAGGACGCCTCGCGACTGCTTGACCAACCGCTGCATTTCGATTGCCCCTGCGAGCTCGATGGGCACGACCGCTTCGAGCGAGGGCTCGCGCGCGCGGCCGGCTTCGGTTTGCATCCCCAACGTCGGCTCCCCGAGGGGCCACGGCGTGGGGCGACTTCAGCGTCGCAGCCTCGGCCGACTCGCGGCCAGCCCACGAGCCCGGCCGCCGCGCGAACGCCGCAGGGGCGCAGCGCAGAAGCGTGAAACCGGACGCGGCAGTCAACAGAAACGCAAGCGCGGCGAGGAGAGCGCACCCGCCACCTCGCCCGCCCTCTCTCCTGACTCTGCTCCTCCTCCCCCCCTCCTCCTCATCTTGCTCCTCGTCGTCGTGGTCGTCGTCGTCGTCCTCCTCCTCCTCTTCATTTTTTCCGCGACATCACGACCAAACTGTTGAGCAACAGGTTTTAGAGAAAAAATGATGCGTCGCAGAGAGCTCGATTGCTCCCTAAAGAACTCGCTAGGAGCCGTGCTTCACGGGGCGCTGCACGCGTGCGCGCGCGGTCCAGGGGAAACCGTCGACAGCTGGCGTTGCCAGCGTTGCATGCTGAGCGTTGGGAGGATCGGAGGTTGGAGAAGAGACCGTGGCTCAGGCTGGCTACGCAAGCCCCGTCGTGAGGCCAATCATTTTGAATTCGTTCAGGGGGGAATCACGCTTGCATCTGGATGGCTCTCGGATTCGAAGGCTGATCGCGTGGGCCCTCGGGCCCTTCAAGACGGGCTGACCCCGAGTCGGCAGCTGCTGGGCCGCCTGGTCCAGTCGCAAGGAATGAAACTGCAGGGTCTGGCTGTGCCAGCCCTGCCACCTTCGAGTCGGCTCGCCCAGACGAGAAGACAGAAAAAAACTGACACTGGCGGCGCACGCCCTACGGCATGCTCCAGCTCTGAGTCTTCTAGGACTGGTGGCGCACGCCCTGCGGCGCGCTCCTGCTCTGAGTCTGCTGAGGCTGGCAACGCACGCCCTGCCACCTTCGAGTCGGCTCGCCCAGACGAGAAGACAGAAAAAAAACTGAGACTGGCGGCGCACGCTCTGTGGCATGCTCCAGCTCTCTTCTAGGACTGGCGGCGCACGCCCTGCGGCATGCTCCAGCACTGAGTCTTCTGAGACTGGCTGCGCGCGCCCTGCCGACCCCGACTCGGCAGCTGCTGGAGGTCTGGCCTAGAAGCGAAGGCACAAGCTGCTGAGACTGGCGGCGCGCGCCCTTCGGCACGCCCTCTCGTCGTAGTGCCTCTTGTGGTATTGCTCCGCTCCGTAGCGCACGACGTCGGCGAATGGCTCGTCGTACTGCCTCCTGCGGGGCAACCCCAGTCCGCAGCGCATGATGTCGACGTAAGGCTTGCCGTAGTGCCTCCCGTGGTACTGCTCCACTCTGCAGCGCATAGTCCCGGCGAAGGGCTCGTCGTAGTGCCTCCTGTGGAACTGTGCAATCCGTAGCGCATGATGTCGGCGAAGGGCTTGTCGTAGCGCCTCTCGTGGTACTGCTCCGCTCCGGCGATGTTGGCAACGTCATCCTTGAATGTGTCCCCCCGCGCCTCGTCCATGAGCTTTGTGCGCGGCTCGTGCTCCACCTTCAGGTTCTCCTGCTGTGACTTCTCGGACTCCTTCTGCGTGGGCGCGAACTGCGCGGTACGAAAGTGCAAGAAGATGCGCGCGTTGCCGTCGTCGCAGCCGTGGTACTCAACGATGCACACGATGTCGGACTGCTCTCCGTTGGCGGCACAAATGAAGTAGTATATCCCTTTGACTGCGACCAGATGCGCACCTTGCCATCGTCGCAGCGGTGGCACTGGAAGTGATGCTCGACTTTGGACTTCGCTCGGTAAGTTGCGCAGACGAGTTCCCCCATGACGATGGCAACTTGACCCTTGGTTTCGATCTTGTGGTTGTCGTGCACCTTCTCGTCTTGGTTGCGCCGCGCCACTGCCAAAAACTTCGGAAGCAGCTCGTACTCCGCCTTTACCGCCACCAGCTTTCTCTTCTCGGCGTCATCGAGCTGCTTGATCTGCTGCTCGGTGTGCTCGTTGGATGTGTGGCGCATAAGCAGCGGCTTGTTCTTGTAGTGCTGCTCCCACTTGTGGGAGACCCCCTCAACCGGCCTCAACATGCAACGCATCAGCATGCCGCACGAGGCGCACCTCCGGAGCTGGCATTCGTGCGAGCTGCCATCGCGGTGTGCTCTCTGCCTCATGGCGAACAATGGGGGGCTCTTCTATCCTCCTCTTTCTCCGCTTGCTCCTACCCCAGCCCTCCCCTCCCCTCCCTGCCTCCCTCCACCTCCTCCTCCTCCTCCTCGTCCTCCTCTTGCTCCTTCCTCCTTCTCTTACTGATCCTCCGTCTTCTCCTTCTCCACCTCCTTTCGGTTGAACCGGCGATTATGCAAGGACGCCTGTCTTTCCCGTCTATGGAAGCTTGGGGACAAACGCCAACACCAAAGCAGGGGTGTGTGTCTGGGGGGGGAGAGGATGATCATAGTTCTGGTGTTGGTGGTGATCCTTCGGCCACCTGGGAAGCGCGATTATTACAACCATCGCCGAGATCGGGATCATCTTTCCTCGGTGGAGGCACGCCGCTGATATTGCTGTTGCTGCCAGTCTCTAGGCCTCCAACATCTCACCCTCGCCCCCTCCTCGTTCTCATCGGCCTGCCCTTCTCATGCGCCAGCCCGCGCCTGGTAGCCATCCTGCGCGCGCGGGCCGCGCGCGCGGAGGAGAACGCCGCCCCTAGATGATCTGCAACCGCACCCCGACGCGGCAGTTCCGTGGCTACCACGACGTCCTCGTTGCTTCGGCGGCTTTTGAAAGTGCCTGGAGGTTCTGCGAGCGGCGAACATGTCCAAGTCCGCGCCCTCGCGGTCTGGACTCTGGGGTGCGATCCCGCTGTCACGCGGTCGCTCGGATACGTTCCGCGCGAGGCATCCGCGAACACGCAGCCCCGTATCTGCGAGGTCGCGGCCTAGGGGCCTGGCCCGCGAGGCCGCGGATACGGATATGAATTATCCACGTGTGCCTGGAGGTTGTCGTCGCGACGGCTGGGTGCAACTCGAAAAACTTCCAGGATGGGAAGTGGGAGAAGTCCCGAAACATATTTACAGCCGATGTTGGATAGAGAGAGGTAACTCCTAGGACCTAGCGAGAATCGAGCATCCCTGCGCTCAAGCAAGAGATCTTCGATCTAAGAAGCGTCGCCTCAGATCCTCAGATTTCGAACGAAGCCTCCGAAAGG